GGCACTCGTACGCATCGTCGCTACATGACGACCAGGTGCTCCTCGTCCGCGTCAGCCCGACCGGCACCACGGCTCGTTTTTGACCAAGCGCCCGTCCATGTGTTTTAAGCAGTCGCGCGTCTTCCTGGTTCATGATTCCAGGACACTCACGGACCTTTTCAGTGGTTGCTTTACATTTTAACCAGCCGCTGCTAGTCGTCGAACTAATCGGTGCATGAGACGTAGGTGGCGCTGCGGCCGCTCTCAGTGGCTCTGTTGCTTAAGCTAGGCGAAATGTTTGGCCGCGTCATCCACGACGGGTCACGTTTCACGGTTGACTTCGCTTCTTTTTCGTAACCGACGAAACGCTTGTGCCGATGACAAATTTATTATTTTTAATAAGTTCCTTAGCCTTAATGGGAACCAACGCACGAAACGGCACTGTCCACATCCTTCTTCAAGGGCTTGTTTCGGGTCAGCGCCATATTACTCCATCACTACATTCGTCTGGTTGATTGACTCGTTATACGACGCCATGAACACTCGTCGCTCTTCTATCGTAGATCCCTCCTGTACCCGGAACAGCCGATGTAAGGTCGTGTTCCTGCGCGGTCATCAGGTCGGCCAGGAAGTTTCTCACTGGACTCCCAACTGTCTAAGCGGTCAACCTTGATTGATCGCTGTCAGAATCCACATGTTCGCCGCCAGCGAGCTCTGCTTACTCATTTCCGCTCGTGGGTAGTTCCATGCTACAAGTCAAATCGCTACCTTGACTAAGACAGCTAAAGAATTCTTTGTTGTCTGCGCCAGATTGCACAGTCAGCAACCGTGCTCAATATGGTAGACTTCGATGGCAAATCTAAAAGTGACTTTAATATCATTTCGATTATATGCCCATTAACCAGCGAATCAGTTCGCTGTAATCCAGACATCCGAGTGCAGCGAAGTTGGTGGACGGATTAGTGTTGTAGATTACGTCCTCTATTATCGTTGCACTACACTCTCCTCTGCAGCTGCTACAGTGTATTGCAATGCGCTCTACCATCGCTGTACTCTACTGTCCACTGCCTCCGAGTGCAGCGTTGGTTGCCCTTCCATGTTTTTGTCCATTGCACCTGTACTAAAAAACGTATTCTATTTTAGCGAATGACAGAACCTCGATTCGCTTCGTTTTATGCATAAGCTTAGAGCAAGTGAAACCTTACTTTATATAAACGTTCAATCGTTAAAGCTGCTAAAAGCACTGGCAGAAATGTTGAAAAGCACAATACTTACTAACGTTAATACAACGAAGTACTTATGATTTTGCCCGAACAGGGTCTTACAGTGTTAGGACGCCCCAGGATACCACGAAGAAAAGCATACAATGGCTGTTTTTCCAACAAAATGTGCCAAATTGAAATAATCAATTTTTCGCCATTTACAGTTAGTGCCCCTGGATGGCACTAGTTATGGTACGGTAATATTATCAAGCACGCTCAACTCCCAGATCCTAAGAAATTGCTAGCCTTTTTCGGATTGGACAAAAATCCTACTACACACCATCAAGTCGGGCTTTTTTCCAATCAATGCGGTATAACAAAAAATATGAAACAAAGTTTAAAAAAATACGCCACAATTTTCTTGATAATCGGGTGTTTTGTCGTAGAAATATAATGGACCGATTTGGCCCAACTTTTTATGGAGGTTTGTGTGGTTTGTTCACGTTGAAGTCTAACAGTAAGGCACTTCACAGTCAATTGGAAATCGAATAATTTTGCCAAAATTCAGCTGGCATCCAGACAACTTCGCAGATACTACAGTAGTACTGTACATCTTTTCTCCGGTTTTCATGGGATTTGAGACTTTGGGAAATTTCTGCTAACTTGCCAAAACGGTTTTTGGCATAATTTTATGAGGGAGGTTGGGTATGTTTGGGTATGTGTGCACCCAGATCAGCCTTAACGAGTTTATACATGCAAAGCTACTGTGTTGGGAGATGGCAATACTGTACTTGATCGGAAAGCTAGGTCAAGGGCGAGGAACCTGTAGAACGTGCGCCTGATCGATGAGAGTAGCGGCACCCTGGGGGGCGCAGTGTGGAACGTGAAATCCCTGGGGCAGTCCGGAGCTCGCTTGGAGGGGAAATCCGATGTTTCCTTCGCGGGGTTGGTGGACCCACGTGCAATGAAAGTGAGAAGTCAACATTCCTGTAAGGCGTGCATTTATCGGATGGCGAGCTGTCTGCCTCCTATACCGTAAGATAGGAGAACTCTGTGGACGTGGCCAGCTGCAGCCTTCTCACGAGACCACCGCAGGTCTCATCCTTCAGGCAGTACTGTATGGATTAGTGTCAAAAATAGCTAATCACGTGTTAAAGCATGAGAAGATTGCATATACTAGTAGTTCGTTCTTGATCACATGTAATAAACAGTAAAACAATACTATTACCTATAACGTTAGTATAATAGTATCCAAAAAGAAAACTCTGGATGTTCTGGTCCCTTATATCAATAATACTACGTGTGTACTTTGGCTGTAATTTTATCAAATCTCACCCCAAAACTACGAATCATGATGTATGTCAAGATATCCCTACAGTAGTTGCGCTTTGACAGTTGTTCGGATTTTCCAACGATGAATTACTGTTAAACTCACGCCGAAAAAGCTCCCGTCCATTTAGGGTTCTCTATCGCTTAAGTAACCTCATTTTCCAAAACACTCCAAACACACCATGGGACAGCAAGGAAGCAAGACTGATATCACGGTACAATCCGGTGAAACTTTTGATGAGGCATCATGGTGACATGTGTGTATAGACCAAAGTCGGCGAAGGAAGCCAAGTCGTCAACAACAAAGCGACGTCGGCTAAAGACGCTGTGTCACACAGTTACGAGTCTGCCAACGAGACAGTGGATGCCCAGAACGCTATCCAGGAGAAGGCATCGGATGCTCAAGACGCAATAAAGGACAAGTATACCTCAGCTAAGGACACTGTGTCGGAGTACTACGAAACTGCCAAGAAAAACGTTGGCGATGCGAAAGACACCATCAAGGATAAGGCTAGCTCTTCCAAGAACTATGCGTCGCACACTTATGAGTCTGCCAAGGAGAAGGCAGCCGAAGCTCAAGAGGCAGTCAAGGACAAGGCTGGCTCAGCCGAAGTCGTTGCGTCGCAGT